TGAGTTCATGTCCTTTGCAGGGACATGGATGAAGTTGGAAATCATTATTCTCAGCAAAATAACACAGTAATAGAAAACCAAACATGGCATGTTCTCACTCATAAGTGGGTGTTAAACAATGAGAACACATGGACACAGGGAGGGGAGTATCACACACTGGGGCCTGTTGGGAGGTGAGGAGGGATAGCAGGGGGTGGGGGGATTGGGGAGAGATAACATTAGGAGAAACACCTAATGTAGATGACGGGTTGATGGGTGCAGCAAATCACCAAGGCACATGTATACCTATGTAACAAACCTGCACGTTCTGCACAAGTACCCCAGAACTTAAAGTATAATAATAATAAAGACTATGAAGCAATGCCAGAATGAGGGAAAATTAATTTATAATTTTATATCCATCAAAAAAGGTGACTCAAAATCCAAATGTCCATCAAAAATGAGAGAATAAAGACACTTTTGGAAATAAAGGGACTCAAAGTATAATTCTCATATATCCTAGTAAGTTACTTTAGAAGATAAGTTCTTTAAAAATGAGAGAATAACCTCACACACAGGACAAAACAAAAACAGAAAAATAGGGACTATTTCATCTAACTCATGAAAGTAATTTTAGTCTTAGTATCTTGGCTGTATAGCAAGCCTGGAAGCCAGTCAATCCAGAGTGAAATTGGACTTTAGAGGACTCTAAAAGGAAGCTACCTAGGAAAAGATGAGATTAGGAAATCTGTACAATTTGGAACAAATTACGAAGGTGATAAAGGTACAAGATTCAAGGAAAAAAGAAAAGCATTGAAACATGAAAATTTGGGGAATTACAGCATTTTGAGCCTTTCTTTAAAGACCTACTTGTGAACAAAGAGATCAGATTTGATTCTGACAAACCAAGAGATTAGTCAAAATTTGAAACTCAGGATTAGAGAAGTAGCTGTAAGTGAACAGATGGTAATCACTGAATACATTTAAATATCGAAAAGCCTGAACAATGGTGAGAAATAGGGTTTTTAAAGAAACCAGGCCAGGCATGGTGACTCATGCCAGAAATCCCAGCACTTGGGGAAGCCGAGGTAGGAGGATCCCTTGAGCCCAGGAGTTTGAGGCCAGCCTGGGCAACATAGTGAAACCCTCCATGTCTACCAAAAAAAAAAAAAGGAAAAATTAGCCAAGCGTGGTGGAACATGAACATGTCTGTAGTCCCAACTACACAGGAGGTTGTGAGCTGTGATCACATCACTACACTCCAGACTAGGTGACAGAGTGAGCCTTTTTTTTTTTTTTTTTTTTAAGACGAGGGTTTCACCATGTTGATCAGGTTGGTCTTGAACTCCCGACCTCAGGCGAACCACCCACCTTGGCCTCCAAAGTGCTTGGATTACAGGTGTGAGCCACCACGCCCGGCCGAGCCTTTGTTTTAAATGAATAAATAAATAAACCGGACTTTGTCATGCATTTTCCCATGTTACTGCTTTAAAAATTTCAGTTTAAAGAGCTCAGTATCTTTAAGAACAACCAAAATTATACAGTTAGTCAAGACAGGCCTAAACAGGATATTGAATATCAAGATCCTGTGCCTTTGGCTGGCAGTGCTGTTTACCTCACGCTGATCAGGATTGAGGAACTAGAAATAACAATTAGACAAAGAGCAAATTCAGTAGAGTGAGGAAATGGGAGGGTATGAACAGGAGGTTGTGGTCAGAAGGGAATTTCAGAGTTTTAAATAGTTATCAGGTGTGACCAAATTACCCACTAGTTGGAGTCGAGGTGGAAGTAATGAAATTGAGAACGTTGAGGAACGTAAAGGTCTCACGTTAGAAAACATGGAATATGGGAAAACAAACGAACTGAGCCATTGAAACAGGAGGAAGGCACTGTCCTGCAAGTAGTAGAGAAGGAAGAGGAAAGGCAGCATAAATAAAAGGCATAAAAAGAAATCTATTTTCTTTCTAATGATTCATGTATTACTCAGAGGTCTCCGAGTTCCTAGAACTTCTATTGAGCTTTCCAAGTCAATTAGTAATAACATTCACATATTGTATTTCACTGATGTGCTTCACTGCTAATTTCACAGTGCTGTTAGAGGCCTCATGTCTCCAGAT